GTACTCAGTGTGACTTGCCGTTTCGGCATTGGGAATCCAAGACTTCGACTTTGTGCCTTGCCACTGTGTCTGCGTCCAACCCTCAGTCCGAGTCCGTCGTGTCGAGTGAGTGAGTGTGTGTGTGTGCTCTCACTCTCTCCCTCTCTCTCTCCTCTCCCTCGGCTCACCCTCAGCCTCACTCCCGTTACACATCTGCTGCACAGCCACTGCCACTTGTTGTTGTAGTCTCCCAACTGTCATGCCTGTCATCTGGTGCTCGACTGGTGCCAGCCCTGCGGCAGTGACTCTCATTTGTTGGCAGTACCTCATCATCGCTGCCACCATGTCTTCCATCAACGCCATGGCTTCCTTTCACTCCTCCTCGTCAACATCGACAGCCTGGACTGGATCACATGGGCAGTCGTTTTCATCCGATGAATCTAACGGTCTCTCTTCCTTGACTTTTTTCATCTGTACACAATTTACCACCACCTCCTCCCGGAATAAATCGTCCTGTTGTGTTGCAGCTCCCACTTTAGCTGCTTCTTCGCTGCGTCCGACATCTTTTATTGGCACCTCCTCCTCCTCCTCCCGGAGTGCATCTCCCTCTCGCCTCGCTGCTTATTCGCTGTGTGCAAAGTCTTTTACCGCCACCTCCATGTCCTCGCGTTTTTTATCTTCCTCTCGCCTCCCTTCCTCTTCAACATCCTTGATGTGATCTTGTGTCCGACTGTTTCCGTTGCACAAGGAACCTCTCTCCTCCTCCTCACCATCCACGTGCGAGGAGTTTGCACCTACAGCGACTTTCAGCACAAGGAATGCGTTTTCGCCTCCGACAACAACCGTACCAGATTCCTTGCCAGGAGCCATACTACAGGCCTCTTTCATTCCGCTCGGGTACGATATCACCACTTTGTACTCTGACACTGACGACACTTTGACTTCGACACACTACAGATGTACAGCAAATTTGGGTGGAAAAATGCAGCCCTCACAGCACCCTTATGTGCTTCCACCTCACTCACACATACCCCCATGTGGTGGTCCCAGACTCTTACACTGCCGGTGTCAAAGCCGGTGACCAGCAGCGACTGCCTGCCGTCGCTGCAAAACTCCATGCTGCAGAGTCCCCTGCAACCGGCTATCAACTGCACCGCTGACCTTTCGCCGATCCTCCATATCTTGACGGTGCCGTCATCTGAAGCGCTGCCAAAGAGATCAGAGTTGGGGTCGAACGCCACTGTATGTATCTTTAGGCAGTTTTTCCCATCCGTGATCGAAGTACCAAAGCTCTACATACTTGTGCCTGAAGCCTGTTAAAAGGTACGGCAAGGTGGGATGAACCACCATATACCGAAGCTCACTGGCAGTATAAGTACTACCACCTGACTTGAGTGTGGCGATACAATTTATCACTGGAGGTGAACTTGTGATTCGAAACTCGAGCACGCAGATTCTACAATTGTGTGGCGGACCCACCGGGAAGGTGCTCCGCCTGGGATGCAGATAGAGATGGAGGACGAGGGAGGAGCGAGATGGCACGGCGCAGCTCCCACGCAAGACTCCAACGCATGTTCTCCAAAATCGTGCCAGTGTAGAGTGATCTCGAAAACAGACAACTGCTGGGGTATACCCCAGCGGACTGACGAGACTGGACTGGACTGCCCCGAATAAAACACAGGCCTGTGAGAACAGGCCAAGGGGCTCGTCTCACAGGCCAACCAGAGGTCCGCTATACGATCCTCGGCCTGTGATGGATCGCCTAGATACAAGCACGCTTCCGCCAAGAAGCGGAACTCTACCAAAGAAAAAGAAAACTTGAGTAGTCTAGTATGCGGAGCAAGCTCCATGCTGAGTCCATGCGATGCAACCTAGGATAGAAAATGTCACAAAACAACAATGTCACAGCTAACAGCCTAAGTGAAAGCAGAAGCAACTAACTAGCATA